CCACCCTCGTGCCTCCGTGTCCTCTGTCTCCGCTCTTACTGCCGCAGTCACTGAGTTTGCCTCTACTCGCCGCCTTGACTTCGCCACCAGTCTTGTGGCTGCTCCTCCTTCCAGTCCTCTGGCCGTCGGGGGTGTGTCTGCCCTTGGCTGTGACACCCTAGAGGACAGGCAGTTTGAGCTAGAGTTCCTGGCAGCCGCTTCCCCTCATCTCTGTGCCATGGTGCTCGCCCCTGCGGGAGACCCCGACGCCCTTGACATACTGACTCCTCGCACTTACGCTGAGGCAGTGTCAGGGCCTTGGGCCTCTCAGTGGAGAGCTGCCATGGACGCAGAGATGGCCTCCTACAGATCCACAGGCACCTACGTCGATGAGGTTCCCCCCCTTGGGGCGAACGTAGTCGATGGCATGTGGATCTACAGGGTGAAGCGGCCACCGGGATCTCCTCCGGTCTTCAAGGCGCGCTATGTGGCTAGAGGTTTTAGTCAGTGCGAGGGAGTTGACTTCTTTCAGACCTTCGCACCTACCCCGAAGATGACCACTCTTCGGGTGTTACTGCACGTAGCAGCACAGAGAGACTACAAGTTACACTCTCTCGACTTCTCCACTGCTTTCCTTCAGGGTAGCCTTCACGAGGAGGTCTGGTTGCGTCGTCCCTCTGCCTTCAGCGGCCACCGGGATCTCCTCCGGTCTTCAAGGCGCGCTACGTGGCTAGAGGTTTCAGTCAGCGCGAGGGAGTTGACTTCTTTCAGACCTTCGCGCCCACCCCGAAGATGACCACTCTTCGGGTGTTACTGCACGTAGCGGCACAGAGAGACTACGAGTTACACTCTCTCGACTTCTCTACTGCGTTTCTTCAGGGTAGCCTACACGAGGAGGTCTGGCTGCGTCGTCCCTCTGCCTTCACTGGCACTTTCCCTCCTGGGACCCAGTGGAGGCTGAGGCGACCGGTCTACGGTCTCCGTCAGGCTCCCCGTGAGTGGCACGACACCCTTCGTTCTACTCTCGCTGACCTTGGTTTTCAGCCGTCGTCTGCCGACCCGTCGCTGTTCGTTCATCGTGGCTCTACACCGTTCTTTGTTCTAGTCTACGTCGACGACCTGGTTTTCGCCACTGCTGACAGGGTTGCCTTGGCAGACGTGAAGTCCGAACTGCAGAAGAGACACACTTGCACTGACCTTGGTGAGCTGCGTCACTACCTTGGCCTGAGATCACCAGGGACAGAGCTGCTCGCACCATTACACTCTCACAGTCACACATGGTGCAGCAGGTCCTTCAGCGGTTCGAGCTTCAGCACTCCACAGTACAGCGCACACCTCTTGCTGTTGACCACAGACTCACTGGACCCTTTCCTGACGAGCCGTTTGAGTCCAGTGGTCCCTACGCAGAGTTAGTGGGCTGCCTCATGTACCTGATGACTTGTACTCGCCCGGACCTCGCCTTCCCTCTCAGCGTCCTTGCTCGCTTTGTTGCGCCAGGGAGGCACCGTCCTGTTCACTGGACGGCAGCTGTGAGGGTGGCGAAGTACCTAGCGACGACATCAGGCGTGGGGCTAGTTCTTGGAGGGAAGCAGCCTGTCGTACTTACTGGTCACTGTGGCTCTTCTTACGCTGACGATGCTGAGACTCACAGGTCTACTCAGGGGTACTGTTTCAGCTTGGGTTCTGGAGCCGTTTCCTGGCGGTCCACACGCTCCTCTTCGGTCTCGACCTCTATAGCTAAGGCTGAGATCTACGCTGGTGCCATGGCGGCACAGGAGCTGCGTTGGTTGACGTTTTTGCTCGCTGACCTTGGTGAGCGGCCGAGCTCTGCACCGACCTTGTTCACTGACAACAAGGCGTCGATTCTCCTCTGTCGTGAGCCACGACTGGAGAGCAGAGTGAAGCATATTCACGTCAGGTACTTCCTTCTGCGAGAGTTGCAGAGACGTGGACAGGCTCGCTTTGAGTTTGTGGAGTCCGAGGCCAACACTGCAGACATCTTCACCAAGGCGCTTCCGCCTTGTGACCACCAGAGGTGTTGTGTGCAGTTAGGCCTTGTTGGCACAGGTTCTAGTCGTGTATAGGCTTGAGTTTACTGTTTGCTTTGCTTGTACTCTTGCTATACACACTTGTGAACTCTTTGACTGGCCTTGTGGCCACTGTTGCTTGTGCTCAGAATGTGTGGTGACGTTGTGATCCACCCTGAGCTATGTATCTTTGTGACTGGTCTTGTGACTGTACACTTTTGGTTTTGCTAGACACCCCTCACTTAGGCTATGGGGGTGTGTCGAATGTTGTAGCCTTAGTGAGGTTTGTCTTAGAGGGTACAGAAGTTAGGGTTTGTTATATGTACCCCAACTCACATCAATGACATCATTAGTTCCTTTCTTGACAGGGGCGCCAACTATTGCACTGCACGGTGTCAACGAAGGTTATGCACACAGTGTAATCACTAATGCCAATCCCGTCAACCACCCCACCCCACTTATCAGAAACTAAGTCAATAAATTGACGCTCCCCTCACAACATGATTACCATCTTCAACCGCGTTGCTAAAAGCAATGCCTCGTATACACCACCGCTCGCATCTCTACCTTATCAACAATCGCGCAATATACGCTCACCACGCTAATAACCCGAGGCTCCGTCACGAGGTAAAGGCGGACAGTTCGGGGAACAGGCAGGGCAGAAGGAGTCGGCCTAGAGCAGCATTGGCAGGGGAGGAGTAGCGAGCGACTACAGCGTCGTACAGTCCCTGCGCTGTCCTGTGCTGTCCGAAGTGAGCGCATTCAGCTAATGGCAGGTGGTTGCGAATGGCTAAGCGGGCAGCAGCGTCACGAGTAAGCCACTGTGAGCGAGTCGAACTGTCAGCTGTGACGGGAGGGGCAGGAGCAGCGCCTGACACTAGGTCAAACAGCAAGACACTGTCCTTCGAATCGCTCAGTAGGTACAGCTGCAGGTCGTCTAGCCACGTGTCCAACTGAACCGGTCTGCCCTCATGATCAAACGCGAGAACCCGAAGCGAAGCCATAGCTGTGCAGTACGCAGGATAGCAGGAGAAACTGTAGCAGTAGCAGCAGTGACAGTGGGGCAAGGGGCCGACGGGGCCAGGCGCGGGCTAGGGATCGTCGTGGGGGGCTAGGCACGGGCTAAGGACGGGGCCGGGCGCGAGGCTAGGGGCCGACGTGGGGGGCCGGGCGCGGGCTAGGGACAGGGCCGGGCGCGGGCAAGGTACGGGGCCGGGCGTGGGCTAGGTACGGGGCCGGGCGCTGGGCTAGGGACGGGGCCGGGCGCTGGGCTAGGGACGGGGCCGGGCGCTGGGTTAGGTACTGGGCCGGGCGCGGGCTAGGTACGGGGCCGGGCGCGGGCTAGGTACGGGGCCGGGCGCGGGCTAGGTACAGGGCCGGGCGCGGGCTAGGGACGGGGCCTGGCGCGGGCTAGGTATGGGGCCGGGCATAGGCTGGGTACGGGGCCGGGCGCTGGGCTAGGGACGGGGCCGGGCACGGGGCTAGGTACGGGGCCGGGCGCTGGGCTAGGGACGGGGCCGGGCGCGGGGTTAGGTACGGGGCCAGGCGCGAGTTAGGTACGGGGCCGGGCGCGGGCTAGGTACGGGGCCGGGCGCGGGCTAGGTACGGGGCCGGGCGCGGGCTAGGTACGGGGCCGGGCGCGGGCTAGGTACGGGACCGGGCGCGGGCTAGGGACGGGGCCGGGCGCGGGCTAGGTACGGGGCCAGGCGCGGGCTAGGTACGGGGCCGGGCGCGGGGCTAGGGGCAGACGGGGCCGGGCGCGGGCTAGGAGCGACGGGCCGGGCACGCGTAGGCTAGGGGCGACGGGCCGTGCGCGTAGGCTAGGGTCGACGGGCCTAGGTGCGACGGGCCTAGGGGGAGTACTAGAAGCGTAGCAGGTGGTGGGCCCAAGGAACCTGCTCTGATTCCATATCAAAGTAACGAACGAGAATGAATGAACTATGAAACAGATGGGTACAAGTACTAACTGTCAGAGGTCCACTGGTGATCCCCGATTGATCCTAGGGAAGAGTTACAGGCTCGTTGTCCTGGGGGGTTATGGGCGCACTCACCCGCTACTTAACAAGCCCTTTTATCCCAATGGTCTAGTGGTTGGGATTCTGACATGGTATCAGAGCGGTCTCGAGTTCGAATCCCAGTGTGTGCACTTCGGGCATCCCAGTGCGGGGGGGTGTCAGAGGTCCACTGGTGATCCCCGATTGATCCTAGGGAAGGGTTACAGGCATGTTGGCCTGGGGGGTTATGGGCGCACTGACCCGCTACTTAACAAGCCCTTTTATCCCAATGGTCTAGTGGTTGGGATTCTGACACTAACCCTAATTGGGTTATACCCCTTATGGGCTACCCCACTACAGCTTACACAAATGTATAAGCTATAATGTTATGACAGGCCCTCCCGCCTGGTAACCATCACAAATTCTATTCGCATCGTGGCCTTGTTCAGATAGGTCTTTGTTTGTTGTAGACTTGCCCCCTTATTTCTTGCTTTGTTTGTGTGTTACTTCATATATAAACTCTTGATTGAACTCGCCTTGTGGCCGCGCTTTTGTCTCAAAGGCTGGCTAGCCGTACCACCCTGAGTTGCATCTTTTGCTTTGTTGTTTTGTTGACTTGTCTTGTGACGTGACCACTTGTCTCGGTGGTTGGATTAGCTGATCCGCCCTGAGTTGTTTGTCCCGCTTGTGTGAAACCCCTCACCTTGCCTATGGGGGTGTGTCAAATGTTATATTTGCACGTTGGGCTACAATGAGGCACTCCTTAGAAAGTACAACCCTTATAGGGTTGGTTACCTACCGTACGAGATTTGCAACTCACTCCTGCTTGTCACATTCATTCCGATGTTCGTACTTTGATACTTCCACACTACACGATTATACTAATTAAAATAGGTACATGGCACACTCTCTCTGCATATTGAAAGGCAACTTTGCACGTTCTCCTCACTATTCGATCAAAACATCACATACCCCCACAAAGGGCTCTGCTGCAGTCGTCCTAACCTGACTTGGAAGGTGCATCTGATGCCTTAGCGGATGAAGGGGCTGATGGTGCAGGAGGAATGGTGGGCGTGTCAGGAGAGCCGGGAAGCCAGGTCTGGACACGTGACCAATCGCGCTGGTTAGGGTTCAAAGCGTGGCCCTTGGCATGGTAAATGAAAGCATCTCCCTTCCCTGTAAAGTTGGCCTGGTGCTCCAAACCATAGCGGGGCTTGAAAACAAGTATCTGGAGAGGGACAAGAAATGAAAGCACCAGACGGATGCACTCAAAAGGAAGCTACGTGCACAAACAGATTGTGGGAGAGATCCGTAGAGCCAGCGCGCATATAGGAGCTATGGCAAACATTCCAAAAAAAAAAAGAAACAACAACAACAACAACAACAAAACAAAAACCCACCTTCTCAGGTAGGTCATCTGTGATGTGGTGCAGCCAGCCATGCCACTCAGGGGGCACAGTGGATGCGTTGTAACCCCATGACTCCTTGTACTCCACCCATCGATGCCGACCTGACACAAGCACAAACGAGGCAGCGGCGCATGAATATTCATTGGGACAAGGGGAAGCAAAACCACAGTAATAAGAAGAAGCGCAGTAAGTTAAAGATAGATAGACAGACAGACAGACAGACAGACAGACAGACAGACAGACAGACAGACAGACAGACAGACAGACAGACAGACAGACAGACAGACAGACAGACAGACAGACAGACAGACAGACAGACAGACGGACAGAAAGACAGACGGACAGACAGACAGACAGACAGACAGACAGACAGACAGACAGACAGACAGACAGACAGACAGACAGACAGACAGACAGACAGACAGACAGACAGACAGACAGACAGACAGACGGACGGAGACGGACAGACAGACGGACGGACGGACGGACGGACGGACGGACGGACGGATGGATGGATAGATAGATAATAGATAGATGAATACATAGATAGAGCCAGAAGGACACATACATACCATGCATACATAAACGCATAGACACATAGGCGAATATACACATAGACGGGCAGGAAAGCTCCTAAACTACTGAAGGGTTCAACAGTGAAGCTACCACAAAGATTTTGCAGAAAAGATGGCAGCTTGCCTCAAAGCAGAAGTACACATGTGAATGGTCAGGCTTGATTGCTCGAATGACCATGACAGCTTACCATTTTGTGCATCCATGCGCTCGTAGTACTTGTTGCCATGCGAGTCCAAGCCCACAAGGTGTGCTCCCAAGGCCCGACGCTTCGTTTCACTGAAAGGCGATCGAGTCACAATCCATGCATGAAACAAGTATCACTCCCCCCACGCATCACCGGCGCATTCACAATGACACACATCCAACCAACAAGGCCAAGGCAATCAAAAGTGAATCGAACAATGGAAGCATAATTGGTTGACGGCCTGTGGGAGCAACATAACCCAAATCAAAAGAGAGCTCTGTTTAACTCGAAACATACTGTTTTGCCCTCAAGCCCTGTAACTTCCAATCTAACACTCTATCACTCTCACTCCCTACACAAGGAATGTGACAAACAAGACCGTGTGTAAGAAAATATCCAAAAGGAAGCTGAAGGCTCAAGGAGGGGGAGGCGAGCAAGACGAGGGCAGAGAAGGATGTGACTGACAAGAGATTGCCGTCTAGAAGAGCCATGCTGATAGGGTGGTCCCACGCAGACGCCAGACGGCGGCATAGTCCCAGCGGCACATGGACGGGAAAGGGAAAACGCGAAGGGTATCAAAGGAAGAAATAAAGGAGGTCTGAAGCTCGAGGCGATTAGAAAGATTGGCTTTAAGTGTGACGGAAACACCGACAAGAAACGTGAAAGAGGTGCGACGGCTCAAGCACGTCAACCTCAACAGGAAAAAATACCGGAGGATCGGACAAGCTGTACCAATGTAACAGAAATAAAAGGTACGAAATCGGTTGGCGTACGCGTATCCCTCATGATAAGCTTGCTTCAGCGCTCCAATAAGACCGTTCTGACGAATCGCACCAGCGGCCGCGCGAAGGTGGGCGAGCACCATTATGTCCCGTCGATTGCGTTTGGAATGGCGGATGGCTATGTCCGGAGCGCGGGAGTAAGAGATCACGCGGCTGCACGGCGAGATGAGCAGCGATGGCGGTGGCGTGCGAATGGAGGTGAGGTGAGAGGTGCGCTGGGGCTTGCGGAAGGGGGGTGAGCTGAGCAAGCGGGTCTGGGAGGAAAGTGTGTCTTGGATTCACTGTAGACAACAAATCTTTCGAACTTCTCCAACAAGAATTGTACGCGTTTAGAGATAGGATTTGGGGGAACCCAAACTCACGGCTAACTCCAAGGTCCTTGCCGCGATTGATATTTTTGTGCTGTTGGGTACACAGTCATTGTTCCAAACCAAAACTTTGACATCTCTCTGATTTTGCAACGTGTGCTGTGTCGACCAGCACAATGGCGTCAGTGAAGAATGACATCAGGCTGGCCTTGGCCCTCGCCGTCGTCAAGGCTAGACAATCAGAGACGAACGCATTCCAAGTGGGAAATCTGAAGCGCAAGGTCAGTTTTCAGCCTGACGAAGCATAAGCATGGCACAAGGCTTTCGCTAACAACGCTTATCGCAGATTGAAGAGCTTGAATGCACGCTGCAGCAGTACAACCAGGTTTTGGGAGATCTTGGTGACTGTAAGTGAAGTTTTCGACAAGTGCCTTACAAATTTCCAAACTCGTCCTGAAGGCGTGCACGGACACAGGCCCTTCGATCCTGCAAAAACTATCGCCAGAGCTTCAGAACTCAGTGACAAAAAGGCAAAAGGAATTGCTTGATGTGACTGAGCACGCGAAAGAATCAGGGAAACTGATCATCACCGACCATCCAAGGGTAGTCCTTTTTAAGCACGGTGAGGCCGTATTTCGTGTTCATATTCTATCCAATTACATTTTTTTCGTGAATTTGCTGAAGAGACTTTTTATGCAGTTCAACTCGTGCCAAACATAAGGAGACTGAAGGATCCAGGCAAAGGTGAGAATATAGAAGGATGCTCTTGTCTGGTGCCAGTCGGCTGTTGCTGTCACAGAATTAACTTGTTGAAGCTGCAGAAGCATCTTCCATCTGGCCCAGTGTGACTGATGACCGAGGATGGATTACCCACGTTTTGAGATTTGCTGCAGACCTGATTGCCGATTCTCCAGTTCAGGTACGCCAATCCAGCATGCCAGATTGAGGAGCTTTGCTAGGGTCAAAATTCTAAGACCTGGGCTAATACTGATACTTTCCAACTGCAAGATGGACAGCCAAAAACGAGCATACATAACTGAAGTCATTTCGTTTGTAAGAGGTCAGGATTCTGTTATTCTCTCATAATTTCCAGGATTTTGCATCCGTGTGGTTCTGATGATGATGGTCTGTACAGGAGTTCTTCGACATGAAGGCAAGGCCAGTGATCTGTGTGGGCCAGTCACTGGGTTCCTTACTTCTGTGCTGGGCATGTTGCTTGAACCAACAAAAGGTTGGTGAATGTCTCTGTTCATACGATTCTAGTCGACGCTGAAGTGCAACTGCTTATTGCACACTAAATGGCATTTCAGAGATGACCAACTGGTCATGTTGCGAAGAAAAAGAAGCCATAATTCTTGAACTTGCTGAAGAGCCTTTCATAGGACACCTGCTGCTGTCCATATTAACTGATGAAATACAGAAAGAGTTCTGTTTGGTGCACTCTGGCACTTGGAACACGGCGAGGGCTATTGCAGCTGAAAGATGTGGGACACTGTAAGTTTCGCAGTGTGCATACATGTCCTGTCCTCTCAACAATGAGCAGCGCAATGATAGATTATTGTGTTTTGCAGGCTATCACTTGTCTTCAATATTGTATCAAGCAATATGACCAGATGGACCTCTGCTAATCAGCTTGATAACAGTAAGCTCTTACATGGTCCTCCCACTCTTCGGCCCCCGACCCTCCCTTCTACACACCTCCCTCCCCCGCTTGTTCATGCTCTCCGTGCCAAGAACTTCACCTGTTCCATGCAGTCCTTTCCCCCTCTCCCTCTGTATCACCCTCACATGCACAAGCGCACATACCACGCACGCATGCTCAGTCCCACACACTCACGAATGCACACATGCTTGTGTGTTGACATGCTCCTCTCCCTCTCGCGTCTTTCTCGTGTCGACCTCTGCCATTTCTGCACCTCAAACATATTCGCACCCTCTATTTATTTTCCCTCCCATACAGATTTGCTCTTTGAGTGGATTACATCGTTCCATCACCTCCAGCAGCAGATTCAAAGAGAAAAGTCACCTCTTTTGCTCTTTTGTGTTTACACTGACAAGATTGATACGTGTATTCAGGAGTCCATCGACCGTCTGCATTCATCTAACACACCAGAAAGGGATGTCACAGGTCTACTTGGGCTCCACTGCAGACTGAAGTCGGGGACCTTAAGTAACATGGCAGGCTTGTTGTACTCTGGAGCATGTTAGGAGCTTGTCACAGAGATGGGGACCTTGGATTTCAGATTAAGCATGCACATTCCATGAAGTCCTGTACTCAGTAATTATACGGTATATTATGATAACAGCATATGGTCAAGGTGCACCACGTCGAAGGACAGCCCTTAGAGGCGACCCTGAACGAAAGAGCCTGTACTGCTCGGCCTTATTCTCAACCCTGTCAGGGTCTTGCACTGTTAAAAGCCTACCAGATCCAGACTTTCTGGCACGATCCGGGCTCCTGTTTGAAGTGCCCAGCCCCATAACCTTCTTCCACCCAGTCCCTGCTCCAGTTCGTGGGCTGACGTCAGGGCTGAAAACCCCAATATTTGCCCTCTCCTGCACCACCTTGCTGGTGCTTATAGCTGACACCCTCAGTGATCCACGAACAAGTTCATTCTCCCACTCATCAGCATCATACAGAGGACGGCGGGAGATCTCCATTCCCCTCCTGCGTCGTTCCTCCCCATCAAGCATGCCTCGGCGGCCACCCCTTGCACTTGTGCTAGTTACTTCGGGCTGTTCTCCAGGTGAAGTTTGAGAAGCCTCAGAGGTCTCAGCTGCCCTTTCCTGTGCTCTCCAGTGGTCCTCCTCCTCGTCTTCACCAGGGTTGTCCGGCTGGCTCCACAGCCACTGCTGCACCTGCTGGAATTTCACATCTGGCTGAACAGGCGGGATCTCATCAGGATCAGCCAATCGCCGTGGTGACACCCCTCGGATCTTCCCAAGAGTCGGAACAAGCTGGCGCCAGCTTCGGGAGCTCCGCAGTGGCGATGACCTGCCTGCATGTGTGTCAGCTTCCACTCTCGATGCAGTCCGGCTGCCTTCCCCACCCTTGTCGGCTGCATCCCAAAAAGATTCTTTGCCTGATTGGGGGTCAGTGTTGTTCCACCCAGAAGAAGCACCTTGCAGAGGAGAGGCAGGAGCTCTGCGTGCCGAGTATGCGTTCAACTGCTTCGCTTCACCCGCTCCTCCTCCATTACCAAATTCCTCAACGTGTTTGCGAGGAGTTGAGGGCAGCAAGGAACCTCGAGGAGGAGAAACGTCACGGACGTCTGCGTGGCGTCCCTTTTGAAATGGTGATACAGGCGGCGGGAGAAGCATGTCCTGCGGGGAGCTCAGTGCATCCAGCGGTTCAAATTCTGGCAGGTTTGGAGCTGCTGGGCGGAGTGGAGATGCAGGAGCCTGAACAGACGGCTCCTGGAATCTCCTGGACTGAGGCGACTTAAGCGCAGCAGAAAGGGCGGCAGGAGATGCATACTGCGGGGATGGAGAGCGAGGGGCCGGTGCAGTAGGCAGGAGCAGTGGAGACGGCTGGAAGCTGTTCAACTTGGCTGGGGTTTCTCCAGGGGGTGTTACACAGCGAGGAATGGTGTCCTGCCGAGCAGGCATCTGCTGCTGGGGCGGTTGAGGAAGCTGGGATGGAGTGTACCTGGGAGACGGTCTGGCAGCGGCCTTCTCTCCTCTTCCAGGCCTTTGCTGCTTCTGTTTCTGGTAAAGCATCTTGAACCTCTCGTGCCGGGTGGGCGAGCTCCGGTAGAGAGAGCTGCTCTTGTTGCTGTCGCTGGGCCGAGGTGACATCGGCACGGCTCCTCCTCCTGCTGCTGCTGCTGCCCCCGGGACCGGTGACACGCTGCGCTGGTATGGGGACAGAGCAGGAGCCGGCGCATTGGCCGGGCTCCTGTACCCGCCACCTACACCCGCATCACGAGGGGCGCTGGCACTTGGGTACCTGGGAGAGGCGCCGGGTTTATAGTACCGTGGGACAGGGCTGGACGGCGCAGCACCAGCACCGCCAGCAGAAGCAGCAGCGGCAGTGGGTGTGCGTGGTTCAGGCATGGTCATTGCAGGTGGTTTCTGGGCTTCCCAAGGGTTGGGCTTGGCTTCTGCCGCTAATGGGCTATTCGGCTGCTGCTGCTGCTGCTGCGCCATCGACCTTCCAGGTGGTAGCTTGAGCGGAGCTAGGTTAGGAACTGGTGTAGTGGTGGCGGGTGAAGCGGGGGAAACTCCTCCGCGCGCAGCGCCAGCGTAAGGGGACATTGGCGCGTATGGGGACGGGGGGGCGGAGGCAAGCGGGGAAGTCACCATGTAAGGGGAGTTGGGCGGAAGCGGGGACATTGGCGCGCGCGGGGAGACGGGCTCATGCGGGGAGGAGAAGCGGTTGGCGTGAGGGGACATGGGCGCAGCGCGCGGCGATTGTAAGGCAGCGGAGGGTTGCTGGTAAGGCGAGCCCGGGGGTACGGCGCGGGGCGATACTGGCGGGAACCTTCCCGGGGAGATTTGATTCATCTCCTTCTGTGCCATTTCCTGCCACCGCTGCTCTCTCCCCGACCTTCCGCCGTCCGCAGTCCGCGCGCTCGAGTCTCCGCCAAGCACGGGCGAGCGCGGCGTCATTGGCGCAGGGGGAAGCGCCGCCTCTGGCGCTCGATAGGGAGACATAGGCGCAGCCGTAAGCGCGGCGCGATACGGGGACACGGGAGAAAGGGGACGATGGGGGGAGGTGGAGCGCAGTGGGGAAAGGGAGCGCAGGCGCGACATCCCCGCTCCTCCCGCTCCACCTTCCCCTCCTCCTGCTCCGCCATCCCCTCCACCGCCGAACAGCGTCTTCTCGAAGCGCCTGGATGTATCCGCGCTGAGCGCCGCGGGGTCGTCGCCTTTCCGCCACTGCTGCTGCCGCCGCTGCAGCTCCTCCCGCTCCGCCTCTTTCCGCGCCTCTCGCTCCGTCTCCCGCTTCTCGTCTCTCAAACGACCGCTGCTCAAGCGCGCCACATTCTCTCCCATCCTTTCCGCCCCTATGGCGAGTGCGAAGAAAGACGACGTCTTGAGATCCCCTTGCGACGGGTTCCGCGCAAGGCTCCCCGCCGCACGCGCGGGCGGGGGAGGCAGGGTTCCCCGCAGCCCTTCCCCCACGCACCCAGCCTTCCCCCCGCCAGCAGCAGCGGAGGCGGAACCGGAGGCAGAAGCACCCGTCCCCTCCGCTCCCCCCGCGCCCGCCTGCACACCCCGGCCGCCATTCGCTCCCTCTATAAGCACGCTCACTATACGCGCAGCGACCTTGGAAGCCTCTTTGGGCACTTCCTGCGAGTCATGGCTTTTGCGTTGGCCGTCGCGGCTCGAGCGACCCAGTTCCAGGCCCCACAGCAGTCGATCCACGTCTTCGCATCCCAGCTTATGAATCTGCCGCACCGCCTCCGTCTCCCGCTCCTCCCACCGCTGCGCGTCGTCGCCTCCGCGCCAGCCCGGACCGCCGCCGCTGCCGCCGCTGGCGTCGCCGTTGGCGGCGGCCGCAGCAGCCTCCAGGACGATATCGGCGCGCAGGCGCGTGATGACGCGCGACACGATCTCCACCACCTCCTCCACCGCGTCGCTCCCCGGCGGACACATGGCCACCCAGCGCCGCGCCAGCTGCTGCCGCCGGTTGCGCTCGCCCTCCCCCGGCGCCGCGTTCGCCAGGCTGCCCAGGCAGCTGCTGCGGGGGACAAGCACCGCGGAGCGCTGCAGCGCCGGGCCGCTGGGAGCGAGGCCGGCGGCGGAAGCGGCGGCGGAAGGCGAGAGCTTGGGCGACGCCGGGAACGGGTCGTGCGAGGAGCGCGGGCTCGCCGGCGGGAAGGCCGGAGAGCGCGGCGTGGCGCGGGCTCTCGGTGTCCCAGGCGCAGCCGTGGGGCTGCGCCAGCTGTCGTCGCGCGGAGTGCCGGGCCGTTCGCGAGCCGTGTCGCCGTCCCAGGCGTCGCTCAAAGCGGCGTCGTTCCCGGCGGCGGCGGCGGCGATGGCGGCGAGCGACGCCCAGAAGACGTCGAGAAAGAGCATCTGCAGGAAGGCGTAGTAGCTCAGCAGACACGACTCGTTGGAAAACTTGTCCCACCTGCCGTTCCCGCCGCATTGCGCGGCAGGGGTGACGGCGAAGACGGGCACGCCGGCGACGAGCGACGCGGAGAGAGACGCGGAGGCGGAGGAGGAGGAGGGGTGGGAGGAGCGGGAGTTGCGGTAGGAGTGGGAGGGGAAGAGAGCAGCGAATTGATCCAGCTTCACTCGGTCGTCCATGGCGAGGCCTGCAGGCCAGTTGCTATCCGACAGCAGCGCCGCCACCAGGTCGGCCCGCCGCACGCCCTGCAGGCGCCGAATCGCCGCCATGTGCCCCGTGAAGCGACCGGCCTTTGCGGACAGCTCGTCGTCTCGTAGCCCCATCGCGCCTACCTTCCCGTCACCGCCACCGCCGCCGCGATTGGCGCTGTCACCGGCGCCTTCTGCGGCCTGTCTCCTAGACGCGTACACGTCCAGCGAAAGCCTCCGCGCGCCATCCTCCCGCGACCCCTCTTGCGCACCCGCGCGGGACATCACGAGGCGGGGAAGCAGCTGCGCCGTTCCGCCTGCGCTCCCGCCTCCGCCTCCGCTTCCGCTGGCGTCGCTCGCGGCGGAGGGCAGCAAATGCTCCGCGGGCGGCGGCGCTCTGTTGAGCCCCAGCGACTGCGCGTCCTGGAAGCGCGCCGTGATGTAAGTGCGGAAGGCGGAGGACGAACACGTGGACAGCGCGCGCCGAGCCGAGAGGGGGGACAGGTCGCGGATGGGGGGAAGCGCGGGTTCCGACATGACCCCCACAGACTCCACCTCGGAGCTTCCGCTAGACATGCTCATTTGCCGCTCGCACGGCCCCGCTCCGCTCCCGCCGTTCCCGCTGTTCCTGGCATCGCCGCTCCCTCCGCCGCCTCTGCTCCCGCGGTGCGCTCTACTGCTGCGATACGCGGCACTGTGTCCGCTCTCTCCGGCCTCGGTTCTATACGTCTCCCCCGGTTCTTCCCCTTGTGACCTCCCACCACAATCCCTCGAATTAGTCTCTCTAGCTTCTCTTCCTCCTCCTCTTCCACCTCCCCCTCCTCCTTCTTCTCCTCCTTCTCTCCCTCCTCGTCGGTCCCCGACTTCCCCTTTTCCTCTTTCTCGTCCTCCTCCTCCGTACCCATGTTCCCCCCCAGCGGCAGGTCTCATGGCGTGTCGGGAGCTTGGCGCATCATCGCGCGAGCGAAAGCTGCGCGACGGCAAGGCGCGCGGCGGAGCAGCGTGTCTCGACTCAACTCTGATCTGGGGGGGCGCCTCGAGGCCGCTGCTGCTGGTGGTACTGACGATGTTGACGCTGTTCGTGCTGTTGCTGTTCAGGTTTCCGTTGCTGTTGCTCGCCGGCTTCCCCGCATCGCCGCCGCTACCAGGTCTGCTGCTGCTGGGCATCCCCGCGGCGGGCCCCCGACGGGCCGCGCGCAGAGCTGCCGCCATCTCGCTAGGCGACGCGAGCGAATCCATGGACCGGATTCGCTCCTGGAGTGTTTTCGACAATGTCATGTTCACTGGCTACTACTAACTCCTAACGCCAGCGGTTCGGTCTTGACGAGTGAGTGGCGCGTGGGAGCTGACGACGCGGCGCTTCATGCGGTGCGGGTAGGCGCGAGTGGTCAAGCGTGTCAGGGATTATCTAACCTGGCGACGCACCGCGGGACGAGACAAGTGGGTCGGGTTAGATCTAGGGAGGCGAGCGAGTGCTGTGCTTGCGGAAAGTACGACTCCTTGCATGCCTGCCGGGCTGCTGCTGGTGGCTCGACTACGGCCGTGCGTGCCGCCTGCCAGGCGCGCTGCTGTCCTAAGCTACTATTGTCTCGCGTGCTACGTAGCGGGATAGAAAAGGGAAAAGTCGCAGCGGGTAAAACAAGGCGAAACGTCAATCTTTTCCAGGGTAACCTAATTGCTATGGCGGTCGCTCAGTACAGGCTTGAAGTCTCGCAATCCCTATGGGTCAGTCTTGGCGTGCTCCACCCATCTACATGCCCCTCTCTCCTCTCTTCCTAGAATTGTCTCCTGATTTTCACCTCGCCACGACTTGTCGCTTCACAATTCCGCCGTCAACAAGGGTGATGCTTCAGCACGAGGGTGCTTGCGTGGTGATCGGTGTGCGTGCTAAGTCACGAGCAACAGATGTGGCGGTCGGTCGGTGGGGTTTCTTGACGCACCCACCTACGTCACCCCGCTCCGGAGAGCTTGAGATGCCTCGTTGCGGCCAGCCATAACTCACGATTATCGCAAAACAGCCCCTACCATACCTCCACTCACGTAATGGGCATTGCAGCCCAGTTGAAACTGGCCCTGCTCAACTTGTGAAGATGGCCGCCCACCAGTTCGCCACTAAACCACACCCACAGAGCACTTTGCGCACGTCCACTAGAATTTCAAACACCAGGGCAGCACTCAAAGTCGTCCCGGACCGATCACCACTGCCATGGGTGCGAGACAATTGGCGAACAGCGCCTCGTGCCAAGACTGCAGCTTCGGAAAATGGCTCTCGAACGTAAACACCACGTCCTGCAACCAGTGGCTGTTCTAGAACGGAGGCCTGAGGCCTGTCCGAACCAAGATGGGAGGCCCGAACATCTGACATATTCTGACACTCTTAAGTTTCGCACGGATGATGGTGACACATCAAACGCTAACTAAGCCGTGCCACGACATTTTGCATCCGCGCCCTTCCAAATTTTGAACTTGACAGCAGACTTCGCGTCATCATGCGAATCGTTAACCGATTTAAACATTCGACAACTTGACCAGAACTGCGTTCTTGTATAACAGGTGCACTCATAAACAAATTAGATGGTGAAGTCCAATGGACGAGAGGTCATTACCGTACTAGAATCACATAACTAGTAAACCTATCATCAGAGAAAATTCCCCATAATAACTGTTACAATCCCACGGGGGACTTAGCGAGGATCTGCCTCGTGGATTACCGCAGGTAGTTTGCAGCCGAATTGGGATCAATGACACCTATCAAATGGATGTAAAATGACAGACGCGACCAAAGAAAATAATCAAAATATTTTATATAAGCTTACAAGGGAATACGATGATGTTGTTAATATAACCAAGAAATTGTAGTGGATAGGATAAAACTATCCAAGTGTATGAAGACAATAAAGTCTTAGAATGACCTTGTTTATATAAGTCGAAAGGAAACAAGATAATAAAGGTAGCATTACAAGGGAAATATATAGCATTCTGTCACAGTAATATTGTTATTACTGTATGTAGTTCTAGCTGTAGTGTAGTTATCCTAATTTCCTGCTTGGAGGTGTACCCCCTTTCCTCCCCTATTTGTACTTCACTCTCTATAGTGAAACCTCTCTTTCTTGCTCCAATTCTCTCGATAGTCATGCCTAGCCTAAACCCTAGGATGGCTCCTAGTCTCACCCTCTGACTACTATTCTGACACATTCGTAGCTAACCATGTGCTCTGAAGGGTACATTCCCATCCCATATTTACTGTTTTGCATTGCTATAGTAACCGCGACTACTGCGATACTCGACAGTTACCATGTTGCAGCGTGTAGTTTCCGATCACAGTTGCGGGGTGGTCAATAGTCGCGACCATTGACTGTTGACCTTCGGGTGGCTGTTGACCTTCGCTTGCTCTTGTTGAATAGTAAGGGTAGGGCCTAGGCTTAGTGGCCTAGGCCAAAGGGAGTCGAGAGAGTTTAGCCAAAAGGAGGATGAGTTCACTATTGAGCGAGGTACAAATAGCAAACAAAGCATGCAAAGAAGGTGCACCACCAACAAGTTTATAATAACTACACTAACTACAGCTACAGGCAGTTACAGATATATTCTAACAGCTCTATATGAGCTAACACGATACTCTTAGAAATAGGAATGATAGACTAGTAAGGCATTAGGGTACAAGTGTCGAGAGAGTTGTGTTGTACCCTAAACAAGGTACCACACTGCAGCCTAACAGAACTAATATCATATGAACATGTTTTGACACACCCCCATAGGCGAAGTGGGGGAAAACAAGTGCTCACAAGACCAGTTTAGAGAAGAAGCTAAGTAGAGAAAAACTCAAGGTGGATCTCAAGATCACCACACATTTTGAGCACAAGCAAGCGGCCACAAGGCCAGTTCACATGCAAAGTTTATAATAGCAATTGCAGTACACTGATCACAACCTAGCAAGTGCAAACATGAAGGTATAATAATATATATCAGAGTACAACAAGTGCAAGGCAAGATCAAGAGACAAGCAGGTGAGGCAGACTGGGCACAAGCCCAAGATAAGTGCAGAAATGCTGATGATCACTAGACCCAAGGGCCTTGGTGAAGACATCTGCAGTGTTGGCCTAAGTGGCCACGTGAGCAAGACGAAGATGACCACGCTACTGTAGCTCTCGCGTGAGGAAGTAACGGAGAGCAATGTGCTCCAGTCTCTGGTCCGGACACAAGGCAATCATGGCCTTGTTGTCGACGTACTCAACTAGAGGAGAACGAGGCCGCTCACCCAAGTCGTGTCAGAATGTCATATTTGTCTAGCCTGCAGTGGGGTACTCAATAGTGAGTACAGCCCAATCTAGGGTTTCCTATATGTACTCAACTGCTTACTAGTGCAACCATTCTCTCCATCCATTCCTCAATTCTCTCACATGGTATAGAGCTGGTTCGATTCCTTCTAGGGCCCACCACTACAACTTTTTTTTTTCCTTACCTGCCCGAGGCGCGCGTCGCGCCTGCCCTTCGAGGCCTTTGGTGGCCCGTCGCTGCCCCTTCCCGGCCCTTAGTGGCCCCTCGTAAGGCCCTTCGCGGCCCCCCTTTAGCGACCCGTCGCGACCCTTCGCGGCCCCCTTTCGCGACCCGTCGCGGCCCTACGCGGCCCCCTTTGCGGCCCCTTAACGGCCCCGTCGCGGCCCCCTTGCGGCCCCTTAACGGCCCTGTCGCGGCCCCCCGTCGCAGGCCCCCGTCGCGCCCCCCCCCCCCCCCTCCCCTCGTCGCGGCCCCCCCGTCGCGGCCCCCCGTTGCGGCCCCCCGTCGCGCCCCCCCCGTCGCGGCCCCCCGTCGCGGCCCCCCGTCGCGGCCCCCCGTCGCGGCCCCCCGTCGCGGCCCCCCGTCGCGGCCCCCCGTCGCGGCCCCCTGTCGCGGCCCCCCGTCGCGGGCCCCTCGTCTCGGCCCTGCCCCGTCGCCCTGCACGCCCCTGTCCCGGACCTGTCGCGGCCCTGCCCCGACCCTGTCGCGGCCCTGTCGCGGCCCTGCCCCGGCCATGCCCCGACCCTGCCCCGGCCCCGCCCCCCTCATGCCTGTCGCGGAGCACCGGGGGCCCGCGCACCGCCCCCCGGCCCCCCTCCAGGTCGCCACGAAAGGCGACGGGAGGGGCGACCTGGGGGGCCGCGCGTCGCCCCTTCTTCCGCCTGTTCTGGCGCCCTGGGAGGCCGCGCGTCGGCCCCCGTAACCCCCCCCCCCCCGTAACCTCCCTACCCGCCATCCCGCCCTGCCCTGTGTTAGGGTTTGGGGGTGGCGAGTAGGGGGTGGCGGGTGTGTGGCATCACCTGCTCCTCCTCCTACTTCGTCTCCCACTTCTGCAGCTGCCGCTGAGGGGGGTGGGTGTGTGGGAGCCGATGGAGTGGTGCTAGGGGGTGGAGTGTGAGTGAATCTAGAGGTGTAGCAGGGGGTGTGTGAAAGGGGGGGTGGGATAGTTTGGGGAGGTTGAAGGGGGGTGGCCGCCGTGAAGCCCGCAGCTCCAGTCGCCCGTGAGACCGTTGCGCCAGTCGCCCGTGAGCCCGTTGCGCCAGTCGCCCGTGAGCCAGTTGCTCCAGTCGCCCGTGAGTCCGTTGCTC